GGAGTTCCACAGGTTGACTGTGCATTGCGTGAAGAAATATTTCCTTTTGTTTGTTTTTTGAACTTGCTATTTATTATTTTCATTTGGTTCTTGAGTTATGGGAATGAATAAATAACGACTTTATTCACTTTTTTCCACTCAGTCATGATTTTAAAGACCTCTATCATATCCCCACTTAGTTGTCTCTTTTCCAAGCTGAAAACTTCCAGTTTTATTAATCGCTCCTCATATGGTAGCTGTTCCATACCCCAATCATCTGTAAGATGTAAGAATCCTTTTTGAGCTGACGCGACCACATTATAGCCGGGAGGGCAATTATCCATTGGAAGAACTTACTGAGGATCATTATTAGAGCCCTACCAAATTTCTGGTCCTTGTTAGTGAATTTCACAGTCATAGGATTTAATGGTACATTTCATGATTGCATGGTGTTATAATGATAAGCGTCCTGGCCCATAAAGGATTTGTGGGGGATTGTATGGTTATTGGGGAGGGGTTGCGGTACAGGCGACCCCCAACTTGCGATGCGATTTGTTCCTAGGGAAGCGTCACAATTTGGGGGTGTCATAACTCAAACCCTTGATGATAGGCAGGGCTGATCCTAACCAACTGGTGGCCCAGGGCAACCGCCCAGCTCACCTGTAGGGTTGCCAGATGGTTTAAAAAAAATACCAGACAAAAAATACCACCAGGGAAAATTTGTAAAACAAAAAACAAACAAAAAAATGGGTCGGGGAGTAACCAGGGAAACCTGGGGGGAGGATTCGGGAGGTTGGGCCCGGCTCTGATGAAAGGCGCCGTGCGCCATCAGAAATGTGGGCCAAGGACATAAGTTGGAGGTTTTCGGCCGCTTTCGTGCTTCAAAAAATAGTTGTCAGTGTGGGGGAGGGGTTGCAGCTCGGGGGTTTCCTGTACTTCTGCGCTGTTGCTAGGAGTGGTGCTGCCTTCAGAACTAGGCAGCTGGAGAGGGGCAGCTGCTGGCTGGGATCCCAGCTCTGAAGGCAGCGCCAGCGCCATCAGCAGCACAGAAGTGAGGGCGGCCTGGCAGGGGATGGGCCCCCTTATTTCTGCGCTGCTGCCTGCAGAGCCGGGTTCTTTCTCAGCAGCTGCTGCTCTCCGGCTGCCCAGCTCTAAAGGAAGCAGCGCAGAAGCAAACGTGGCATGGAACCGTATTGCTACCCTCACTTCTGCACTGCTGCTGGTGGGGCGTTGCCTTCTGAGCTGTGCACCCGGCCAACAGCTGCAAAGCTCTTCAGCTGCCCCATTCTGAAGCCAGCACAGAAGTAAGGGGGCATGTGACGGGGCAAGGCAGCCCCGCACTGAACCTGCAGGGCCCAGCCAGGGTTACCTGGCTGCAGAGGCCCCTCCTGCACAGCCCTACTGAGCATGTTCGGGCTGTAGCTCCACTATAAAAGCCTGGGGAAGGACTCAGTCTGGAGGGACAGTGGGAGGAGAAGGACCTGGGAAGGGGGCTTCTGCACAGCTGTCACTGGAGACTCCAGGAGAGGCTGGGGGGGAGGCAGAGGGGAGCTGGTGGGAGCCAGGGACTGCCTGCCGAGGAGACGCCGGCCTGGAGGCCGCAGAAAGCTGGGCGAGTACAGGGGAAGGAACCCCAGGGAACCAGGTAGGAAGTGGCCCAGGGCGGAAGCGGGAACCTCCTCTCCCGCCCCGAGAACCTCGGCGTGTTTCGGACAGATTGCTCCCCCGAGGGAGTGGCCCGCTACCCAGTCGCTCACAGGGCCCTGGGCTGGGACCCGGTGCAGTAGGGTGGGCCTGGGTCCCCCTACCTGGGGTGTGTCCCTGCTACAACCCTAAACTGTGTTGTGAACTCAGGCCAGAGGGCCTTGGCCTTGCCTAAAAGGGCCAGACCTGGACTGTGCTTTGGACTCAGACCGGAGGGCCTTGGACTTAAGGGGGTAGGTGGGAGGTGCCCGCCACAGGGCAGTATCATGAGCATCCTTAAAATAATGTTGTGATCCGCCCTGTAACTCCCTTTTGGGTCAGGATCCCCAGTTTGAGAAATGCCAGTCTCCCCTGTGAAATCTGTATGGTACAGGGTATAATAATACAGAAGACCAGATTTCATGGGGGGACACCAGATTTCATGGTCTGTGGCTTGTTCTTCATGGCCATGAATTTGGTAGGATCCTGAGTATTATAGATTCTCCAGCACTGAAAATCTTTGAATCAAGGTTGGAGGTTTTTCTACAAGTTCTGCCGTTGTTCAAACAAGAATTAATTCAGGCAAGTTGTATAGTCTCTGTCATACAGGAAGTCAGACAACATGATCACAGTTGCCTCCAAATCTGTCTATCTAGATTGGAGCTTTGTGCATCCATCTGTCTGTGGCAGCGTTCTTTCAGAATAACCTCAGTGCGTGTCTACCTAGCAAGTAAATTTGAAATAATGGACTTCTTACTTGGACTCCTGTAATCCTCCTTGCATGAGGAGTGAGGGAAGTCAGGGGAAGAGTGCTCTATTTCGAATTAACTGCAGTGAAGACAGTGTCAAAAGTTGAAACAAGCTATTTCGACATAAGCTACGCAATTAGCATCACTGAAGTTGTGTAGCTTATTTTGAGTTTAGCCCTGCTCTGTGGACGTGCCCTGCGTGTCTCTCTCTGAGTCCATTTGTTCAAGAATTTATCCTAAACTGTAAGAGCTGGGATCACCAAATTTAGGAGGTAGTTTCCTCTTCTCCCAACTTAAATCAAGGTCAGGGTTTGGTTGAGCCAGGACAACCACAAGTGCTGGGATAGGGACTGTTTTCCATAACCTGGCAAGAGAGGGGCAGAAAGGGGAGAATAGCGAGCGCGGAGGAGAGCTATATGCACAGTGACCACTGGGGGCAGCCACCCCACTAAGGGTGTGTCTACACCACAAGGGTATTCTGAAATAAGTTATTTTGGAATAATAACTCCTGAAATAACTATTTTGAAATAGCCCGTCTACACTACAGGGAAGCCTCAAAATTAGTCCGAGGCAATCTCCCTTAATGTGGATGTGGCACCCCCAGTTAGAACCCCAGGAAGCAGTGGGAAGTAATTACTTCCAATGGCCCTGCGGTGGAGCTATTTCACTATCCACAGTGTTGCTAATTCAAAATAGCAATTTCAAAACAGGCCTTACTCCTCCTGCAATGAGGGTTTATTATTCCGGAATCAGAAGCCTGTGAGTTTCAAATAATTTCAAAATAATGGGCTTGCAGTGCCAAGGCTCACCTTTTATTTTGAAATAACCCCTTAGTGTAGACATGCCCCAGGAGAGTGGCCAGCAGGGCTCTGGCTCTTCCCTCTTGCCTGGCATCAGATCAGGTAAGTAGGCCCCCAAATCCTCTCCCTCTCCCTCTCCCTCACCCCTCTGCTACAGCGCCAGAGAGGGGGAAGGCCCCTGGTGGCCATATGAGTTGGGGGGGGTGACACCACGTTTATGCTGTGCTGTATCCTGGAGAAGCAATAAACCCCCTCTATTCCTCTGGCTGGCAGAGTCTGTTATTGCTGCTGTGGGGGTGTAGCATCGGGGGAACCCCGACACATTGTTACATGGGGCAAGAGAAGGCCCCTGGCAACTGGGTGGGAACTGCGGGGAGAGAGAAGGCCCCCACCCAGTGAGCACCTGGGCCCACCCGCTCTGAGCCTGTGTGGTGCAGACGCTGGTGGCAGCATGAGCATGGATCAGGAGCAGAGTCCTGGCTGAGGAACTCCAGGGCCAGCCCCACCACTGCCTCTGCTCAGAGCTCTGTAAATGTCTCCCAGGTCCTGGGCAGAGGTCAGCCGGCCCCTGGACTCCCCCATGCCTGCCTGTGGAGTTGTGGGGACCCACATTCCACACTAGCCAGCCCAGCCCCTGTACTCAAGTCCTTCCCTGCACCCAGCTTATCACCCCCTTCCAGTCCTGTCCTGGCCATCATATATCACATGCAATAATAGAACAGGCAGCAGAAGGGACTTGCTGTGACGTCAGCCCTTCCCAGCACAGATTCTCTCCACACCAGGAGTGAAGGGGGAGGCACAGGGGTTACCTGACGTGTGAAAGAGACATGGGTTTTGCCAACCCGCAGGTGTAGATTGAAACTCTCCATGGGCGGCTGGGGCTGGCCCAGCTTCACCGGTGACTGATAAGCCACCTCCCAGCTGAGACTGGCCGCTGGGGAACAGGTGATCAGGAAGGCAAAAGCGCAAATGGAATTGCGACAGGCTAAGGATGTGAAGGATAACAAGAGAGGTTTCTACAGGCATGTTAACAAGAAGAAGGTGACCAGAGAGAGTGTGTGGCCCCTAATGGATGAAGGAGGTAACCTAGTGACAGATGATGTGGGGAAAGCTGAAGTACTCAATGCTTTCTTTGCCTCTGCATTCACGGACAAGGTCAGCTCCTGGACTTCTGCGCTAAGTGATGCAAAATGGGATGAAGATGGACAGCCCGGGGTGGGTAAAGAACAGGTTAGGAACTATTTAGAAAAGCTAAAGGTACGTAAATCCATGGGTCCGGACTTAATGCATCCGAGGGTACTGAGGGAGTTAGCAAATGTCATTGAGGAGCCTTTGGCTATTATCTTTGAAAAGTCATGGAGATCGGGAGAAATCCCGGATGACTGGAAAAAGGCCAATGTAGTGCCCATCTTCAAAAAAGGGAAGAAGGACGATCCAGGGAACTATAGGCCGGTCAGTCTTACCTCGGTTCCTGGAAAAATCATGGAAGGGATCCTTAAGGAATCCATTTTGAGGCACTTGGACGAGAGGAAAGTGATTAGGAATAGTCAGCATGGATTCACAAAGGGCAAGTCATGCCTGACCAATCTGATTAGCTTCTATGATGAGGTAACTGGCTTGGTGGACATGGGAAAGTCAGTGGATGTGATATACCTTGACTTTAGCAAGGCTTTTGATACAGTTTCCTACAATATTCTTGCCAGCAAGTTAAGGGAATGTGTATTGGATAAATGGACGGTAAGATGGATAGAAAGTTGGCTAGAAGGCCGGGCCCAGCGGGTAGTGATCAATGGCTCGATGTCGGGACGGCACCGTGAGCCGCTGTAGCTGTGAGTGGGGCAGAGAGGCTCCATGCAGCCCTTGTGCGGAGGCCCTGCCAGCCAGAGTTGTCTGAGCTTTCCACCTCCCTTCCCAGCTCCAGAGGGGTTTGCCCTGAGCCGCTGGGCTTCTGACACCTCAGCCAGAGAGTGTTTGTGAACCCCCTGGGCCTCTGCTGGTCCTGGAATTGACAGAGGGTGGCTAGTGAGCATGGCTTTTGAAGATCACTAGATGCCCATATAGGTGGGAACTTCTCCCCTGCAAGGGGGCTCACAGAATGAGCCAGACTCCCATGTCCTTTTGTGGGGCTTTCTCCCGCTAAACTCCTGCATCGGCCACTGTCAGGAGGCAGGTCCCATGGTGCCGTGGCCAGTGCTCAGGGCTCTGACTCCTGCATCTGAGTTCAGCTCTCGGTGGGACCTGGGCTGGTTTGCTGCAAAGCCCTCACACTCGACGTGACTTGGCTTCCGTGTCCTTACGTTCACCAGAGAGACTTTTGATGTTGAGCAGGCCGGGACTTGGACAGGGCTCAACACAGAGCCAGATACATTCCTGGAGGACAGGTCCATTGATGGCTTTTAGCCAGGCTGGGCAGGGAGGGCGTCCCTAACCTCTGTCTGTCAGAAACTGGGAATGGGTGACAGGGGAGGGGTCACTGGATGATTCCCTGTCTGTTCCCTCCCTCTGGGGCACCAGGTACTGGCCACTGTCAGGAGACGGGATTTTGGGCTTGCTGGACCTTTGGTCTGACCCAGTCTGGCTGTTCTTATATTGGGCTTGCTGGACCCTGTAGTCAAAAGTGCCACACTGATCGACACTGCCTACGGTCTGGTTCCCGAGGTAAATGCCTTGGGATTTGGCCCAGGGAAGACTCGTTATTCTGATTATCGAGAGGCAACACCTGGAGGGGGGAGGGGCACACAGGGTCATGTGCCCCTCAGATTTATCCTCCACCGTTTAGCACAAAGATTTGCAAATGGTTTGCACAGGTTGAAAACTGTTGCCCCCTGCCAAATTGTTTGGTTCCCCGGCTCCTCGGGAGCTGGGGCTCTGGCTGGCTGCCTGGTGGCTCTGCTCCACAAGCCCAATGCGCTCTTGCCTCTCCCCTGAAAGAGCCTGGTGCTGACCAACAGTGGCACCTGGAGCCATCCCTCCCCGCAGAGCCCAGCTGCCAGGAAATACTCCCCAGGGGCTTGTTGCCCTGAGGTTCCTGGCTCTGCTGCTGCTTCTCGGGGCGGAGGTGACACACGGGCCCCTCCCTCCACAAGAGCTACTGAGATCTCTGAGCCCAGCTGGGTGGACACAGAGTCTGCTCTGGAGAGCGTCTAACCGGAGAAGAGAAGCTGGCCCCATGGGACATGGACCAGGGGGTTGTGACTTGGCTGACTCAGCCAGTAGTGCCAGGAATAAACTCATGTCCCAAGGCCTCACCCAGCCAGCGCCATAAGAACATTCTTGCTTGTTTCTCCTCTTTCAGGCTTTTGCTGGCTCATCTGCCTCAAGGAGACTCATTTCTCCAGCACAAGTAAGTTGATGCCTGGAAACCTGGGGAAAATCTCCAGATTCAAACCCCATGTGTCCTGCCACTGGAGGCGGCTTTGAACGGGCAAAAAACTTTGCATCCCATTTCCTCCTCCTCTTTCCTATATATATATATTAAGCTTTAGATTAAAAAATATATTTCTGAGTTTTTATATATTCATACTATAGGATGCAAGGGACGTTAATGCATTTGGGCACACAGTGATTCACAGTGCTTTGCCCTTTACTATAATGCCTGCTCTAACATTATAATGTTTCCTTTTTAGAAGAAGGCAGCTAGATTAGACTATTTTTTCTTTTTCTTTTTTTAAATTTAGAAAGCTGGATGCAGCGCTGCAGCTGAACTGCTCCTCTGTCTGCACGAAGATCTCCTGGCACAATTCTCTTCTGTTAGGATGGAGCAATATCATAGTGTTCTGGGTGTTTAGATGATCTTGTTTTCCAGGGCTGCAATCCTTTTTGTCACAGCTTCCAGTGAGCAAGAGTTAAGGAATAAAGGTAGCAATGCACTTCATGCATCAAAGTTAGTGGAGATACCCCAATGTATGTCTGCTGAGGATCTGGCCAGTTACAAAAATCAAGTCAGTGGTTTTATCACCTGAAAAGTCATCGTTCATTCCAAGGAAAACAATGGCCAACCACCGTACATTTGCTATCAAAGCAAGAGTGAAACACATAACAATGTGTATGTGTTTTGAGGTGATGATCTTGGAAGATGAGTTGTGGGGAGAGAAGATTTTCTTTATTTTAGATTCTCATAAAATTCTCAATCCCTTGTAACCTTTTTGTGCCTCCTGTGGGGGTTGTGAAGCAGAGACTGAAAAACATCGATATAGTCTGACGTCCTGTATAACATCAGCCATAGAATTTCACCAATGATACCTTTAGAGGAGGGGATATACTATGTGACACTCAGGGCGGGGCTGGTAACTTGAGGCTGAACTATAGCATCTCACGTAGAAAGACATCCAGTTCCAGTGGAAAGTGATGGGGAATCTACCTTCTCCCTCAGCCCTGGCCTACTCTAGGGAGTTATCATATATATAGTAGCCCAGTGTGGCGACGCTCCTGCTGGGCCCCGGTGGGGGAGCAAGCGGCGGCAAGTGGCCCTTTGGGCCCGGGGCGGGATTTCAACGCCTCTCAGCTGGGCCGCTGCGTGGTAGCAAATGGTGCAAGTGACCGTTTGGGCTCCGCGGTCCCGAGTGAGAGGCAGGAGGGGGAGGAGAAGAGAAAGAGAGACTGCTGAGAGAGTGAGAGGGGGAGGCAGTAGGAGGAGGAGAGAGAGAGAGAGATGGAGTGAGAGACTGGAGGATCAGGAGAGAAGACTAACATGGAGGAGAGATCTGAAAATCCCGTCTTATGACTGGCTAATCGGCTAGTTCTAGCAATATCTACCAATTAATTACGTATTGCATAAAATACCTATTATGCCCATATTTGGGATACATCCTGCTATTCAGACCATACTATACTCAGTTGACAGTTCTATGGCTGTATCTGTGATTTTTGCTTATCAGAAATACTATGTACTATTACCAGGTTTCTCATAATGTTCTTGGCTTGTTTTCACTACACCATACTCCCTACGCACGATTGTTTAAAGCACTCCTGACTCTCAAAGCTCCCTGACTCAGCCTGGCCTGCATGCTTTCGTGCACTAGACTTGAGTCAGGCCAGGTTTTGCTTCCTTAGAAATCCGCACTTTGGGCAAGACAGCCATTGTTAGTCCAGTCAAGGCAGGGCCGGACAATGCAGACATTATTGGTCAAGATGGGATTGTCCAGGCTCTCTTACCCCCCCCCCCCCCAACTTCCCTGGGGGTGTGATGGGGTGGGTCCCATAATTTGGGAGCCACTGTGCTAAAGGATGCAAGTCAAGCTCTCCACAATTAGGAAATACCAGAATCCAACTGTCTTTTCCTCCATGTGTGTTATGTCCCAGACTTTCCTTACGTGATCACAGCCTATTTTTGTCACCAGTCCCCTGCCTCTTTAAGTGCACAAGTTAGATCTGCACTGGGCATAATAAGGGACGGGTAGTGAGGTTGTTACCTGTATGTGCTGCAGGAGGACGAGGCAGGGGCTTTCCGGAAAAGAAAGGATGGTCCTCCGGTTGAGGCAGCTGAGGGCTGCTCTGGGGAACTGAATTCTCTCTTCCTCCACCACTGATTTCTGGTCTGATGCTTGGCAAGTCACTTATCCCTGTTTTTAAGGCATGGCTGCTTATCTTCTAAGCCCTCACTTGAACCCTTGGGGCCTGATTTGCAGAGGTACTGAGCTCTCCCAGCTGCAAGGCTGGCCCTGATCTCTGCAGTGGAAAGCAGCGATGGGCAACCCAGGATAGTGAGTGGGCTGCATGACTGACCCTCCTTTATCTCAGAGGGCTGGAGCAGCCTGCAGCCCCCTAGGGTTCCTCCTGCGACCCCCATGTGCCCTTCCCTCGTGCACCTTCCCTGCATGGGGGCACTGGAGCCCCTCAATTACCTACTCCTCCTCCTCCCTCCCACTGCTGGAATGCCACAAACAACTGATGTCCATGTTCCATCCCAGTGAGGGAGGGATTGGAGGGGGTACAGAGGGCATATCAGGTGATTTGTGGTGCTCCTATAAGTGCTGGGAGGGAAGGGAAGGAGTAAGACTTGTGGGGGTATGGTGCTCCAGCGTGTGAGAAGCACATGGGGGAGGGAGGAAGATGGGGAGAGGGGTCTGCAGGCTGCCCACCACTGGTGGAAAGTATAAGTGCTCTGTGTCCTCTTGCACACTGGCCCATAGGGGGACACGCAAGACCCACGCACTGGGGGTAACACAGGCACCATCCTGGGCCGCTGAATGACTTCGGTTCTGTTTGCTCCTGTCCAGAGATCAATGAATGTTCCCAAGTCCCCCAGCCCTGCGGCCCGAATACCTACTGCCTTAACCATCAGAGAAGTTTTTCCTGCATGTGTGAACCTGGCTACAGATCTTCCAAAGGAGACTCCTGGCTGCCCGGCAGCGTCGCCCCTCTGAACTGCTCAGGTGAGAGCCAGTGGGAAGCCGAAGGCGTTCTCCCAGCAGGGTCTCTCCTGCCCCCAGACAGTCATGGAGGGACTCCCGGTGCACACCAGCACCTCAGCCCAGCTCTGTGTCCTGTGCTCTCCTGGGCCTAGTGAGAGCCAGCCTCCTTGGGACCACAGCCATCTCCGCGCAGCCTTTGCTCTCAGGGATGCCTATGGCCGGGCACCAAAGCCCTTTGCTGCTCATTGCCCTGTGCTCAGCACATGCCGGGGTAGCTTGTGTGGGGCCAGATCCTCATCCAGGGTGATGGGTGCAGAGTCATTAGGGTCAGGACCTCGGTGCTGCTGCTCCATTGACTTCCCTGAAACAACAGCGATTTGCCTTCAGCCGGACTCTAAGTCCTAACCTGATGCCCTGCCGGAATGCTTCCGGCCAGCCTTAACCTTGGTTCAGGGTCCACTTAATGTGGACATGCTAGTTCAAATTAGCAAAACACTAATTCGAACTAGTTTTTTAGTCTGGCTCCATTAGTTCGAATTAGCTTAGTTCGAATTAACTAATTCGAATTCAGTTAGTTCGAATTAGTGCTGTAGTGTAGACATATACCCATAGAGACTTACTAGTCTCCTCCGCTTTCAATTCACCATTTCTCGGTCTGATTCTCCTACTATGTTAACATCAGAGGTGACATTATCTCAAGAAAGATTTTCATCTGAATCTGAAGATGACCCTGATGTGCAGTTTTCTCCAGAAAACTCTCCCCACACAGATCTGCACCTCGGGCCGGCTCTGTGTCAGGTGCCCTCCTGGGCCTGGTGAGAGCCAGCACCCCTGGGACCACGGCCGTCACCGCGCAGCCTTTGCTCTCAGGGATGCCCTTGGCCAGGCACTAAAGCTCTTTGCTGCTCATTGCGTTGTGCTTGACACACGCCGGGGAGGCTCGGGCGGGGCCGGACGCTCACCAAGGGTGAAGGGCGCAGAGTCACTAGGCTAAGCTCCTGGTGCTGCTGCTCCATCACCTCCCCTAAAACAACAGCGATTTGCCATCCACTGGGCTGGCACCAGGGCTTTGCCCTGCCCTGACACACTGGTCTGGTCTGGCACAGGGCTGGGGATGGGGTATAAGGAATGAACTAAAGCTTGTGACGGACATAGGAAATCCGGGCAACAGGGTGCACCAGGCACACCAATGGGGCTGAGAGGATGCAGACCGAAGCTGGAGAAGTGCTGAGGGACAGCTCAGAAGCCCCCGCTCCCATTGGCACCCTACCTCTGAGCACGTGGCCCTGCAGTTATGGGCAAGGAGATGTGGGGAGAGAAAATTGTCTCCATGTTTCCATGTCCCTATCTCCATCTTGCACAGAGGCCTGGCGAGTCCTTTGCCCCCTTTACTTCTACGTCTGGCACAATGGGCCTCTGATACCGGTTTGTCCCTGTAAGTGCCACTGTGATTAATAATCGATTCTCTGTTCTTCTGTTTAGATATAGATGAATGTTCTCCGGTCCCTTCAGTCTGCGACCTTCACAGCTCCTGTGTCAACACCGTGGGGAGTTACAGCTGCCAGTGCCAACCAGGCTATTCTTCCCCTGGGGGGAACTCCTGGAAACCTGATGACAGCCACAGCTTGAACTGCACAGGTACCAGTCGCGACACGCTGCCCTCCCTGGCAAAACCATGGAATAGACATCAGGCCCTGACAGTCTCAAAGGCTGGGATGCGGGTGGTGCTCTAAGTGCTCCGTGCTTGAGAAGCTTCCCACAAACGGATGTGAGTGTAGCTAGGCCCTGGCATGTTTATGATCATTAGATAATGTAAGTGTCCGTACCAGCAGAGCTTTTGCTTCTTCATTGAGAGATGTCCCTGTGATTGCTCCACGTTAGGTCAGTGAACGCTGCTGAGCCATTGATCAGAGATTTTATAGCAGTGTCCCTGCGGCTGCACACGTGCATGTCTGCAATCACATGCTCCTAAGTGGCAGTCATCATGTGTGCATGAGGCCCCCCTTCTATATATCTTCTCTACTGCCTCTGGCTGGAGACAGAGCTCAGCAGTGCTCCCAGCCTCATTCACATTTTCAGATAATAATCCCTTTTTATAACCAAACTTTTTCTCACTAGTTGGTCAGTTTTTGGTAGTTTAGATTGTTTTAAAAATAACTAGAATAGAATAGAATAGAATAGAATAGAATAGAATAGAATAGAATAGAATAGAATAGAATAGAATAGAATAGAATAGAATAGAATAGAATAGAATAGAATAGAATAGAATAGAATAGAATAGAATAGAATAGAATAGAATGTGTTTTTTTTTCTCTCCCAGTTCATTCCCTTCCTGTAGTCAGATAGTTGTTCAGCGCCATGCCTGGCTCACTGGGTATTAATCGCTGTTCCGCCTGCAAAGAGTTTATCCCCATCTCGGATGGACATGCACAATGTGTCTGCTGACTCGGAGAGGCTCATGTTTCTCAAAAATGTCTGCATTGTGCAAAACTGAAATCGTTGTTGTGACAGGACAGAGACCTGCCACACAAGTGAATTCTACTTGAAAACTCACTCAGATCAGCAGCCTGAGGAACTGAAACAAAGCAGAGGCAAAAAGCCCACCAAAAAGTGAGCCTCATCCCTGCCTCAGGAGATGCAGGTGTCTTCCTTATGGAAGGTTCCAAGAACAGCAGCGGTGCTCTGCCTAAGCACCTATGATGCTCCAGGCGTCTCCGGGACCACTAGCACAGCTGGCAAAGGGGGACACTCAAAGCCCCGCTCTGAGGCATCAGGCTTTAAGTTGCCTGCCTCATCAGCTGCGATAACATCTGGTACTGAAACTGCCTTGCTGAATAGTGATAGAAATGTAGCCGTGTTAGTCTGGGGTAGTTGAAGCAAAATGCAGGACAATGTAGCACTTTAAAGACTAACAAGATGGTTTATTAGATGATGAGCTTTCGTGGGCCAGTCATTTTTTTTATTGTATCCTTTGGTATATATGGTTGTGACTACTTTCTTCCACTATTTGATCTGAGGAAGTGGGTCTGGCCCACGAAAGCTCATCATCTAATAAACCATCTTGTTAGTCTTTAAAGTGCTACATTGGTACAATTAAAAAAATGAACAAATATGAAAAGGACAAATCACATTGCAGAACAGGAGGGGGATGCAGGGGGGGGGAGGAAGGAAGGTAAGTGTCTGTGAATTGATGATATTAGAGGTAGGGAGAGTGGGATGTTTGTGAGTTAACGGTATTAGAGGTGATAATTGGGGAAACTGTCTTGGTAATGGGTGAGATAGTTCAAATGTTTAAGTCCTTGTTGGCAAGTGTCGAATTTTAACATGAATGACAGTTCAGAGGATTTCCTTTCAAGTGCAGATGTAAAAGGTCTTTGTAGCAGAATGCAGGTGGTCAAGTCATTGAGGGTATGTCTACACTACAAAGTTAGTTCGAACTAACGGACGTTAGTTCGAACTAACTTTAATAGGTGCTACACTAGCGCTCCGCTAGTTCGAATTTGAATCGAACTAGCGGAGCGCTTAGTTCGAACTAGGTAAACCTCATTTTACGAGGACTAACGCCTAGTTCGAACTAGCTAGTTCGAACTAAGGGCTGTGTAGCCCTTTAGTTCGAACTAGTGGGAGGCTAGCCCTCCCCAGGTTTCCCTGGTGGCCACTCTGGCCAACACCAGGGAAACTCTATGCCCCCCTCCCGGCCCCGGACCCCTTAAAGGGGCACGGGCTGGCTACGGTGCCCGTGCCAGGTGCAAGCCTGCCAGCACCCAGCTAGCAGACCCTGCACCTGGCACGG